GAGTAAGGCCACAGGTGGACGATGAATGGCCCCTCCCAGAGGAAGTAAAAGAGGAGCGAAAGGGGAGGGGAGTTTGCAGGAGATAATTAGTTCACTTAATTGGTTCCTCACTCCCCAAGACACTTTGTCAAGTTTTGTAGATCTTGGCCTGGCAGTTCTCCAAGCCAGATGAGGTCTGTGACTGTAAATCCTCCCTTGAAAGACTTTGCTGGATGTAAATGAGCAGAATTCACAGTCAATTAATAAAAGGGTTTTTTGTCCAGGAGTTTGCTTCATGCCTAGGTCAGAACAGGCACTTGATAAATAAAGGTAGAGAAATCATACTTAGGGTGCAGAAATCTGAATACCCACTAGCGGGCAGCATAGTTTTCTGTATCTTTATTGGCATCCAGTGGATTTTCTCAGCCCAAATATGCTAGGTCTAGGGGGAAAAAAAGAAGTGAGACCAGGTGCTGGATGTTGATAAGCGGAGCCATTGGCAGGAAAGCAAGGAAACTTAGCATCAATGGGAAACAGAGAAGGAAAACAGAATGGCAAGAATATATGATAAGGAACAGGGCTTACAGGCATTGAGTCTGTCCAAGATCCCAGCAGAGCTGCTAAGAGTAAAGAGATTGTGGCTAAGGAAACATGCGAGGTGTCTTCATTTGCAATAGCAAGGGAGTGGTCAACAATTTGTAGGTGGTCTTGGTTCTATATCCACCCTAAAAGTACTGGTAGCCAGTGGTGCATGCTCTGACATCCACAAAAGATTTTAATAATTCTCCTGTGCCCTAGTATATTTGCAAGGAGTTATGCACGAGGTTGCCATTGAAGGTGACTTGGAAACCTCCACTGGCATGGAAGGAAACTGATTTTAAATGAGCTTCTTGCTCATTGCTTATGTTGTGGTTTGCTGGCGGCTTGCGGAGCTGGCAGCAGAGAGGGACAGCGAGGAGGCTGGGGAGGAACATGGGCCAGTCCTGGAGTCTGGGGAAGGCTCGGATGAGGGCTCTGCATCAGAGGCAGAAGGTGGAGGCAGGGCCATCTGGGAGTTATGTGCTGCCTCCGGAGCCTCCAGAGTGGGTCAGCAGCGAGGCAGAGGAACAGGCTCTCCCTGTTCCCTGTGCACGCATGCCAGTGGTGGGTTGCAGGTGGTATGCCCCGGGGTTCAACGACAAATGCGTGCACGACAAAAGCGCACCGACAAAAGCGTGCCTTCAAAAAACAACTCAAAAACAACATAATAACCTTAAACCTAACTCTAACCCTAAACCTAAACCTTACCTTAACCATAATCACACTTTTGTCGGAGCGCTGTTGTCGGCGCGCTGTTGTGGGCGTGATTTCGAACTCACGGTTTTGTCGGTGCGGTTTTGTCGGTGCGG